TATTGTTATTCTATTATTTTTGTTAGTTCTTGGCAAGAAAGTAATATAAAAAAATATAATATTGATCATACATAAAAATGAAAAATCTATTGTTATTCTATTATTTTTGTTAGTTCTTGGCAAGAAAGTAATATAAAAAAATATAATATTGATATAAAATTGAACTCTGCAACCATCTGCTCTGCACTCTGTAGACCAAGGCTAAATAGACGAGATCGCTTAAGCGATTAAGGGTAATTTACTTCAATATTTATTTTCCATGTTTATGGACATATGTTTAATATAGATGTAAAAGAACAAATTTAATTAAAATATAATAACGGTCATGTTCCACTGAATGAATCGTACACCTGATATGTTTAATATAGACGTAAACATTCTATATCATATATGTTTAATATAGTTGTAAAATAACTAATTTAATTAAAATATAATAACGGTCATGATCCACTGAACAAACCGTACACCTAATATAGTTAATATAGACGTAAACATTCTACACCATATATGTTTAATATAGCTGTAAAAGAACTAATTTAATTAAAATATAATAACGGTCATGANCTCATAAAAATTGTTTCACAAGCCTTATAATGTCATAATAATTTATGCAAAGATAAGAGTCTACAAAGATGCACTCGAACTCTATGAAAACTAGTGTAATTACTACACCAGCAAACTGAATGTGTAAACATGAAGAAGAACTATCCCTAGAGACAAAGCCAATTCCATGTACCCCGTCAGAAATGATCTAGCTTTTGTTTTGTGAACAAGCACAATCAACTCAACTGAAGAAATGAGTACCCCAATATTTCATCAAACAGACTTTATGATAAACAAGAAGAATACATATGAAGCCTCCAAAGGAATTCAGAAAAGAATCAGAGTTTGATTGTATACTCAAATGAAATTGCTTACCTAAAGCATATGCATGCATGAAATCCTTTAGTGTGATATGATCAACTTCAGGGAAGTGTTCAAGAGCCTGAAATGGTAAAAGATATTTCATCATACTTGCAACTTCCAAGGCCAGAGAACAATGATAACAATTGTATCAATTAGCTACTACAGAGTAAACGCTATGAATAAACAGCAAAATCAAAATGTACTTACTCGTTTAATTGCCAAAAAAACTTTTTCAATTTGAATATTTTTATTGACTGTTTCTTGATATAATGAACTTTGACGAACCATATCTAACTCATCTTCACTCCAGAATATCTGCAATGATTTCATATATGAGCATGCTATTTATCTTGAAAATTGTAAACTACTTTATTCAATGCTTACAACCATATATCAGGTATAGGAAAGGTTGATGATGTGAAAACACTGTTTCGCAATGAATCAAAATCAGATGTTCTGACAGAAATGAAGAAATATGGTAAGAGCAAGACAATCTTCATTGAAGAAGGAAAAAACAGGCATCACTACTTTTAATACATTTATAAATGAGAAGTAATACACCTTTAACAAGGTTTATGGTTTTTCAATAATAAAGAAGAGACATCAATAAATTCATATGAAAATAGAAACATTTACTGTGTTATGCATTTCCCCAAGCTGAGGAAGTCTGCTGATGTAAGGGGCCCACTCCGAATCCTGCCACAGAAGATAACAAAGAGGTAATTTAGATGTATGCATTTTTTTATATTTCGTCATGTAACCTAAAAATAATGATGCAAAAACAAATGCGTGCAAAATATCTACCCAAATATACAACATAGTGGTCCTTTAACAGATATTTAATTTTTCAGACAAAGTTCAAATAAAGTAAATCATATTACCTGGTTTAATTTCTGCTCAAATAAGATGACAATAGCAACCTTTGCAACATTGCCCACTTCATCACCTAACAAAGATCGGATTTTTGGAAGAAGATTATCTGGTGCTATTTGCTGAAAAATCAAGACAAATATGCTGTGCAGTTTAATATACTCACCAGTCAATGCCATGAGATACACCTAGATGAGTTTAGTAAAGCATATCAAAGACTAGTTATTGACAAGTATGGAAAGAAAAGTTTACCACATTGTAAGGAACTCTCAATATACAGTCTCCAGTCCGTATCTTCTTTGAAGCAAATAGTGATCTGCATGGTTAAATTAAGAAAAAAATAAAATAAAATAACAGAAGTTCTGTAATGATGCCCAAGACAAGAGTACGTAAGCAACAACCAACATCTTTTGCAGCAGAAATTCAATATTTTCTGTGAGAATATGCAATTCACAGTGTTACAGCTTACAGCACATAAACCCTTCTCATTCCTAAATCAAAAGAAAGAACAGGTGCTTGCTCATTGTCAAAATCAGGAAAACAAACAACCAATGACTTCTTTAAATGTTTCCTGTTCAGTGGTGAGCAAGGAATTGTAGAAATAAATGAGCACAACCCACACTACAAGATGATTTGCACAAACTGAACCAATGAGGCAGTAGTTCATTGCACAAGAAACATATGTACACCAGTCTTATATCCAATAAGAATCCAAAACAAGTTGGTGCTTTGGCATAGCACCTGATAATTATAGCTGGTAAAGCTACATTTTATGATGAACAACAACCAATAGTCTGCAGTTTGTGTAGACATGATACATTAAGAATTGAGATAAAGAAAAATCCCATTGTCAATAACAGCAGGAAACCTTGCAAAATCTCTATCTAACAACTAATAACCAATCATTGCACAATAGAAGTGGTTACATTGAGCTAAGCTCTCTAGCCACAAAGGATTGGTCAAGAATTTTTTAACTTTGTATGCTAAAACTACTTCCAACTAAAGATAAATATGAAAAAGGAAATTCTTATCCTGGAAATCATACTGCCTATTTTTCAGTAAAACCTACATTTAAGTAATAAGCACGCTAACTGAATGAAAAACAGACACAAATCAGAAATTTGCAACAAAGGCATGTGTACGAACCTGCCATATGCAGATTTCGCAATAGAAAGTGCAGACGAAATCTCAACTCCAGCTTTCCTCTCCAACCACGGCAAAAAATCATCATCACATTCCTCATTAACAGAATACAATACCTGACACAAAATCCCAATAACGTAGCTGAACTCGGAATTTCATCAGAAATACCACACAAATATACACACTATTAACCCGAATGAACGATTCTATGAGTATGCTATTTCATTTTTCAAGAACAATAAAAGAAAACACTTTCAAAAATGGTTGAGTTACACTTATTCTCCTCCATTCCTTTCAGTTCCAACATTTCTCGATAACTAAACATATGCTATGGGGATATAGTTAAAGTTAAACTCGTGGGACAACGTGATTTTGAATTCTAAATCACATTCAACAGATTACAGTATACATGATTGCTCTCTATGTTAATGCAGTTAATTTTGACTTATTTTAGTGATAATTTTGAGGAAAATAATATTTATCCGAATTTAAATTATCTTTTTTTTTTAGGTTCTTTTCCAACATTTTCTCGGAAACCAAACAGAGCATAAAGGATGCATGTTCAAGCGAACCTTGGATTTAGATAAAGACGAGAAAGGGAGTTTGACACACAGGCGATGAGAAGTGGCGAAGAGTGATCGTTGAGAGCACCATAGCTTTGTGATTCTAACGCTTAATACCATTTGCAGATAAGAGGTAAGTACGGTGTTTCGCGGTTGATAACCGGAATGTGGATTAGCGGCTGGCCAGCTAAAGGCCGGGAGGGCGTCGGCCAGTCGGGGTTTAGAAGTCTACGGACTGTTTGGATAGTGGGCTTAGTTTATCCTAGTCATGGGCTGGGTTGGGATCATCCAGTAGAGTAGAGTTAAGCTTCAGTGCGTTTGGGAAAGTAACTTGGCTCCAGTAAAACTTGGAAGTGACACGGCAGTCCGTGTCAGATTATTGGCTTTTGTAGATTAGGGTCTGTTAAAAATGAAAAACCACAATTTGTAATAACTAATTTCAAATTGACTAAGTCATAGACTCATAAATAAGGATTAAAGATTTTACTTCCAATTAAATACATTATCGAAAATTTATTTAATTAATAGGAGAGAATGATGCGTATTTAATGAAAAATAATCATTTTTTAATAATTCATTTTAGATTAATTAAACAAGCAATGAATAAATTAAGATATCACTCTCTTCTCTTATTAAATAATTAAACTCATCCAGAGTTTATTCAGGTTTAGGGGTGAAAATAAAAACCAAGCAAATTAATAGAAAATAATTATCCCTTTTAATTAATAAATTTCAGTTGGATCTATAGTTCTATACTCGGGCACTTTTATGTTTTATCAATCAAATGATCTTTTACAGTAAAATAACATTGGTTTATTAATAAAAAAAAAAAAAAGGGTTTATTTATTTCATTGATTGATAAATATGTTCTGATTTATTGATAGAAATAAAGTTTGTATTATTTAACATTTTAGATTTTTAAATTATTGTCGAATGATCAACTAAAACTCTTAATTATATTATTTAAGAGGTTTTAATTGTTAATTTCAAGATAAAAAAATTAATCGAACGGTAGATAAACTATTTGAAGATCCTAATTTAAAAAAAAAAAAAAAAAAACTGGTCACAAAAAAACAAAAAAAATTGATTTGGAAATTCTTAATATAATTTAAGGAGTGAAGAGTAACTTCACTGAAGAAAGAAAGCAAAGAATCTTTCTCTATTTACTTTTCCATGAAGTAACTCTGCTCCATTATGATATCGCAACTTGTTCAATAATGAACAAAGTGGTGGGGCCACTTCACATGAAAATTCCACAAAGGTGTTATCACATTTACACGTGTCAAGATCAAATTGAATGCCCGGTCGGCAAAGTATGATAAGGACCGCACCCGTCACATACACCAACAAAAACATGAGCCAAAAGGTCAAGCCGATCCGATACTAATAATGCAACTCAATGACCTATTAGTTTATAAATAACACCTTAGTACAATCCCCAAGAAACCCTAACCCTAAAGCAAATTGCAAGACACGCTACTTAAGATTCCTTTCTCTCTCTTTAAGTCATTTCCTTGGAGTTGCGCAAAAGAGCATCTGAGTTTTGCTTCTATCGGTTAGGTAGTTTCTCGATCAATTTCCATTTTCATACCTTTGTGTTCACCAATTAGTTTTGGATTATTGTTCATCCATTTGTTGCTTTTTGATCGGTCAACGGTACGTGTTGATTTTGATTTCATTTAGTTGTTTCCTGGAAATTGTTATTGTATTGATTTCTTTAAGATTTTTTTTTTTTTTGTTTGATTGATTTAAATTAGTTTGAGTTTGTGGATACAGTTTGTTTGGAAAATTCTTTAAATCTTGATGGCTGTCGATGTTTATGATTCTTTGTAATTGAACTGTTTCAATTTTGTGATATAATAAGATGCATCTAGTTGTGTCAACTGTGTAGTCGATCATTTCTTGATATATTTAGATAATTTCAGATCGTGTCTTGTTCTATTTAACTATGAGAAATCATCAAATGGCTACTTTGAGCTATTGAATATTATGGGGTTTAAAACAGTATGGTTTTCATCCTTTTGTCTGCAGATGCTTTCTTAATGATTGAGTACGATTACTAGGAGACTGTTTAATACTTCCTGCAACTAAGCACCTAAAATTGTTTTCGGTTATTGGTCAAAGTGGATTTGAAAATAGCATCGGATATGTTTGCTAGAAGTTGATTTTGGACTATTTTTTATAAGATAGCAAGAAGGTTATAACAGTAGCAAATTCTGAAGGCTTTCCAGTATCAGGAAGTGAAGAGGTGTTTATTTTAAACTTTTTAGAAATTACTAATGACTAGTTTAGAGAAGTTTATGCAAATTGTTTTGTTATCGGGTTATTGACTACCTAATCTTCTATTGGCAGACTGGATTGAAACCTGTTGTCCGAATGTCTAGTAATTATAGTGCAGGTGTTCCTATCAAGAAAAGGAGGTTCCCGTTAATCCGGCCTCCTTCACCTCCTGCCAAAGAACAATCTGTAATAAATGATTTGCTACAAAAAGAAATTTCTAGCCCATCTCAAGGGTCAGCTCTATCAAATGCCAAGGTTGGGCCAAGTTCATCTGGCTTATCTGATGCAAACAAGGAATCACTTCTTGCGGAAAGAAAGGGAAATCCTGATGCAACAAATGTTAAAATGGTTAACAGCAGTGCTAAAACCTATAGCATCAAGGTTGAACAACCAAGTCTTACAATTCACTCTATTTCCAGGGCTGATGTGGACAGCAAAGAGAAGCTTGTGGGGGCTGAAAAATCGGCCAATACAATAAAATCAGCAAAAGCCGAGTTGAACTTAGCACTGACTGAAGCTCCTGCCCTTACCCTAGGAAAGGATCTATGCAACAAACAAAAAATGGTGGAAAAGAGTACATCAGAATTTGTTAAAACTCCTGGGATTACTGAGTTGTCATTGGCTGTAAATGAACATATTGTTTCAGCTATGGCAGGTCATAATGGTGAAAGGAGTCATCAGAATCATGAGAGTGGAGGACCAGTTTCATTGAGTTTGTCTTTAAACAAAGGAGGAAATAGTAATCAATGCAAAGTTGACAATGTTGACTTGAATACTAATGCCGATATGCATGCTAACAGATCAAACTGGGATTTAAATACTACCATGGATGCGTGGAATGGTTCTGTGGTTGATGAAGCTGCAGGTCAAGGAACTCTTGATGGATGTAACACAATTGGTGGAACGCATGATATAAAGCCTTTGATTTGTTCTGTCGGATTATTTGGTGATAGTGCTACTTCAAAAGGACAAATTCTTGAAAAGAACAAGTGCAGATCTGATGGCACTCTATCATCTCATCTGTTGGGCCAGCCTTGCAATTCTGAGGCTAATCTTCATTTAGGGCTCAGTCCATCTTTTTCTTTGTCAAACCTTAGTCAGAAACCTGCCAGTTTATCAGCTATGTTGAATTCAGGCCGGGGTACTGCTAACTCAGGCTTGGGCAAAGCTTTTGAATTAACTGGCAGTTTGAACCCGGTTAATATTAGGAATGTAAAATCAGAACCACTTGATGAGAGCATCAAACATGGTTTCACAGGAGCTACGCCCATTCCTAAGGGGTTACCAGATATTAGAGCAGTGAAACGCGAATTAGTTGAAAGATGTAATCCTGAAGCCTTGAAACCATTTAAGTTTAGCTCCCTGAAATTAGTTGATCCTGGGTCCATAAAACCTGAACCAGTTCGTGAGGATATTCGAGAAACACTCAAGAAAACAGAGGGGACATCAAACCAATCAGATAAGCAGATGGTAGAAGCTATGGATATTCGAGGAAAAACTACTAGTTCAGCAGCCTTGTCTACAAGTGGTGAAGTATCAAACCCTTTTGAACATTCTATGAACAGGAAAGGATCTCATCTTAGTGGGGAGGTGCCTGAGGAAAAATCTGAAAGTTCTGGACAGGTTCTTACAGAAACAATGTCTGCACCTGTGGGTCTTGATGGTAATGCATCAAACCTTAGTAGGGAGGTGCCTCAGGGAAACAATCTTAGCAGGGAGGTGTCTCGGGAAAAATCTGAAAGTGCTAGACAGGTTCTTACAGAAACAGTGTCTGCATCTGTGGGTCATGATGGTAATGTGTCGAACGTTTCTAGCTTGGTAGATGCTGCAATAGCCGAAGATAAAAACATTGATGATACTGAGCAGTGCAGATTGAAATTCGTGGAAGAGGTTCCTCCTAATTCACGAGGAAATGGTGAGGGTTCTGCAAGTGATGATGAGGAGAAGATCAATTTATCAGGTGATATGCTAGAAGAAGATTCTTATGGTTCTGATTATGAGTCTGATGCCAATCATAATCTAGAAACAGCTATGGATGCTGAACACAACAATGGAAGAGAGGAAGACTTTGAGGATGGTGAAGTTCGGGAACCACTGGCACATACTGAACAGGAGGGACCCATATGTGAAAAAAGAGAACTACAACACTTCGATAGTGGTGATTCTTCTGATAATAAACGACTGGATTTTGTGGGACCTCCCAGTGATCGGCCTTCCACATCATCTTCTGTTGAAGATAAACCCACTAAAACAGAAGAGCCCAGTGAAACAAACAATGATAATATGAAAGAATTTTCTGAAACAACTCATGATGAGAAGGACAGTAAGGGTGCTGGTAGTAACGACACCGTTTTGCAAAAACCATCGGCAGGTGAGATGCTTGCCAACGAAGGTGACCAGAAGAGATGTGGTAGGGCCTCTCCTATAAGACCTGTTGTCATGTTGAAAATGAAAGATGGCCTAAAGGGCCAGGAGACTGAACTGTCATATGATCAAGCCACTAGTTCAAGCCAAGGAAATTCAGCCGCTGTTGCTCAAGGATTTGATGAGAATGTTAAAAGAACTGATGTGGTGGAAAAGAGTGTTTCTCCATCGCCCAAGGCAGAAGCATCTTCAATTATTGATGATCCAGCTAAGGATGCTAACAGTGGAGGAAATAAAAGCCGGATAATAAACTTGCCTCGAGTTTCTAACATGCCATCACCTGGTCAAACAAGAACAATTTCAGGCAGGCCATTGCCTCCCCGAGCTGGGAGGGAAAGGTTAACTGACGTTGCACTTGAGGGAGAAATATTACATCCTCGAGGGAGGTGATTATTATTACCATTATATTGCCTTTCCCCTCGTTTTGGTAAGTTAGTTAGATGATATAAGCGATGTACTTTCATTTGATATTTTTTTCTTTATTGCTTTTTGCAGGGATGAAATTTATGCTGATGCTTCTCACAAATTTTCAAGGGAGAGGCATCAAGACCATCCATCTAGGAACTCTAGATTGAATTTTGTGCGTGGCAGAGGGAGAATCTCCAGTAGAATAGACACACTACAAGGTGATTGGAATTCTGAACGGGGCTTTGCTCCAGACTTTTATAATGGTCCGGNGGCTTTTATAATTGCATTCTATCAGTGACCTGCCATCATTATCTTTTGCCATGTTGTGTATGGTAATTAATTCTAATAAATATTCTGGTAACTTCAGTGAAAGATTATAAAGTTCATGCTGTTGGGGAATTTGTTTGAAGCACTTTATTAATAAAATGAGACTGGTGATTTGAAGGAAATTTAACTTTGAAACCATACTCTGGTGCCCTAAAACTTTTTGCTATGCCTCAATAACAGCGATGAACCTTTTTTCTCAAAAGATAGCTATGCAAATACCAGAAAGTAATTTGACCTTATTTTGTCTCTAGCATGGTAAACATCCAGAGCCTTATATACTTGGCTCCTAAGTTTGCTGAATTGATTTCTGAATTTGGTCATGTGGAGTTTTGCTAGAATCATTTTTTGGGAATTAAAATTCCTGTAAAAGCTACATGTGATGCTTTCGTAATGTTACTGTACATATAATCAACATCAATTCTTTAATGTTGCTAATCTAAACATTTTACAATGGCATTCTGCTTATTTTGTGTACTTAGATCATTAACATGCCTGGGAATCCGAATGCGGTTGCTGAATGCATGGAGGCTTTGTTGGTGGCCCTTAAGCATGCATTGAAGCACATAAAGGGTGACAAGAGAGAGAAACATCCTCGTCATGTCCCGCACGCACAAGCGGCACCAGTGGATGCATGGGAGCACAGTTACAAGATGGCTTCTGGTGGTAACACAGAACATGGTTGTTCTTGTTCCCATTAGCATTTTCTTTGGGAGAAGAAATTCAAATTCTGTAACATTATGTGTAATTTTGGTTCACTTCATATCATGTGTGATTAAGGATAAGTACTCCATTTTACACATGGGAATTGTAATTTTGCTGTTTTATTATTTTCATTTACCCCAAAGGTAACAAAAGAATAATAAATTAATAATAATAAATCATGGGTAATTTGTTTAGCCTTTTTCCTTATGTGATTAGAATGTCTTGACACAAGATATGAATAATTTTGAAACTAGATCTGTGATAAATGAATTATTTCAAAGTACTATTAGCCTCCCATATTTTATCTCTTTTGATCCCAATTACTGTTAAATTTTTAATTACAATTTTATCTTTTATTAAAATTACTTAAAAAAAACATAAAGGAGTTATACGTATTTATATTTCCTCTTTCAATCATAAACCTTAATTCAATTAACCCTAATTTTATTTTCAAACAATGAAGATGTAATTTATATCATGGAAAGAGTTTGATCAAGATCATATAAGTGAAATGGAGATAGAATTTATGATTTGTAATTGTAAGTTGTTTTATTAATTTTTCTTTACTTTTTTATTCTTTCGTACCTTTCTAAAATTTATAAGTTAGTTTGATGTATTCAAGTTCTTATACTATTATTTTTTGAATCTTGAAAGTAATATTCATGTGAACGAATTTCATGTTTGAATATCTTTTAATCCGCCTGCTTGGGAATTAGATTAAATGATACATTCAAAACAAGAAGCATAAAAAATATTAAAAATATAAATAAAATAGTATATTTAGAAGTAAATGGAGTCTATAAAAACATTCCATGTGTCAAAACATTTTGATGGGGTAAACTTTTGAAAGATAAAATATGAGGGATTAATATCTACACAAAAATGAAGTAATTATAATATTAATGACCCAAATCATATGGTTATTTAATAAGTCCTCCAAAAAATTCATGCCATCTTCACATAAATATGATCATCACAATAAAAACATCTTCATATAAAAGTATTTAATCTTATATGCTTGTTACATAAGAGACGAACAAGGAAATAAACATAATATTTCTGAGTTTTAGTTGACATTGGGTTGTCCATATATTTTTGGTCTAGGCCTAATTTGGGCTTCGAAATCACCTTTAGCCAAACTATTGCCAATATTCTACACTCCACAGCGTACCATCACCAGTTTGCTATAGAGGTGGAACAAATGGGTCGGGTTAGGCAGGTCAACCCTAACCTGACCCACAATAAAGAGGGTTCAACCCAGATCACCAAATAGGTGAGTCGGGTTGAACCCAACCCACATGCAACCCTCGGGCGGGCCGGGTTGATATATGGCAACCTGATGGCCCGCGGGTTGCTATTTTGTCTTTTCTAGAGATAGACCCGCCAATCTGCGCGGGTTGACCCGCGGGTTGGCCCAAAAAAAATTAAAAAAAAAACAAAATTAATTTTTTTTCAAATTCCTCTTTTACCCTTGAAATATAGTTGTTTTATAGCAGTTGGAGAGGTCTTTTTCGTCATTTTTTTTTACCATTTTTTTTTTCTATAAATTGGCCCTAAACTCTCATATTTTCTCACAACTCAAATTCTCTCATTGTCTCATTTTCTCTAATCTCTATTGAAATCTTTCAATTATTCTCTTAATTTCTTATTATCTTTGTTATCAGTTTGCTCTTATTTTAATTTTTATTAGTTTTTGCAATTTTCAATTCATATTTCCAATTCTCCTTCTTTAATTTTTTATTTCTTCTACATCAATTTTTTTTTTTCAACTACAATGGATGGATATTTCACTCCCATCAATTGCAATGATGAAGGAAACTACTATCCTAGTCCTAGTCCCGCTGAATTTACTAACATAAATGCAGGAAGAGATTCAAATAGTCCCACTTTCCCAGTCTCAGAATCCGATACACCTCAAAATATGTCCCTGATTCCTCCCCATGCCGGTGGTTCTAGAAGTCGTTCTTGTAATCGTCGTCCTCGTCCAGCTTCATCTCAAGCTGAAGTGGGTTCATCAACTACTATCGAAGGTGACGACAGACACACATCAGACGTTTGGGTGCATTTCGATAAGTTTTACGAGGTAGAAAATGGAGTTCAAGTGAAGAAAGCAAGATGCAAGTATTGTGGAAATGTTTATAAAGCTGATTCAGATAATGGTACTAGTACTTTAAAAAGGCATGCTAATAAACATATTGCTCAACATGGAATAGAGAAGCTAATCAAACTCAAATAACTAATATAGGTACTACTTGGTATTATAATTCTGATGTATACAGGGAACAATTAGCTTTATATATTGCTGCAACTGATCAACCTATTAATATGGCTGAAGATATTTTGAAAGATTTATTAAAAATTCATTTTTTCAAGGATTTAAAAGTTATTCTAAAACTGTAACTAGAAATGATTTAATAAAATTGTTTGGGAAAATGAAATTAGAATTAAAAAATAAAATACGTAGTTGTCATATTAGTGTGACTCTAACTGTCGATATTTGGAGTGGTAGAGCTAAACAAGATTATATTTGTGTAACCAGTCATTATTTTGATAACAAGATTAATGGATGTGGATTATAGTGGTCAACAAATTTATAATAAAATTGTTGAAGTTTTAGAAGATTATGATATTATTAATAAAGTGATAAGTTTAACTTTAGATAATGCAAGTTCTAATAGTAAAGCTATAGATTTTTTTCAAATTAATCATCCTTTATATAACAATTTGAAGTTTTTTCACCAGCGTTGTACATGTCATGTTATTAATTTAATTGTGAAAAGTGGTATGAAAACAATTAAAGAAAATATTGATAGAATTAGAGAATCTTTAGCTTGGATTACCAGTAGTAATAGAAAAAATGTTGAATTTCAAGATGATTGTATAAAATCAAATTTGTCTCCTAAAACTTTTGCATTAGACATGCATATTAGATGGAATAGTATTTATTTAATGTTTGATTCATGTTTACCTTATGCTAATATAATTAGTTATTTTGTAGCAAATAATAGAGGTCTTCATTATTTGGTAGAAAATGATTGACATATAGCTAAAATATTTCATTCTTTTCTTAAATTTTTTTACCAATCCACTTTACAACTTTCTAGTGTATATTATTCTACTAGTCCATTAGTAATACATACAATTATAAAAATTTCCGAGTTATTTATAAAAAACAAAAACAATGAAAATTTAAAGGCACCAATAAAGGCAATGGGAATTTTTTTTTTTTAAATATTGGCAACCCATTGCTTTTCTTTATTGTTTAGGTGCTATATTTGAAAATGGTTTTCACAATTTATGTGAAAATTTACAAACCGAAGCATATGCCAATCAAATAAGAGAGGTCACAAATTCTCTTGCAGATGTATATTTCCAAAATGAAAACAGTTATGGAAACCCGCAAAGAAGCGAAATATCCGGGGAAGTTGCATCAGAAGAAACAAATGAAGACTTCTACTCTTGGAATGCATTGAATAGGCCGAAGAGGACCGAATCCGAAGCACAACCTCCTCTTTAGAAGCACCACCACCACCAACAACAACTAATATATTGTCCTTCATGCAGTCAGAGAGTAATGAGTTTCATCAATTATTGACAACCCCCGAAATGTTACCAACAGATCCACAACAGAGAGCCAACTTTGATGTCTTAGAATATTGGAAAGCCAGAAAATGCATTTTTTCGGTATTATCAAGACTTGCCTTGGATGTTTTCGTTGTTCCTGTCTCAATCGTCTCATCCGAACAAACATTTAGTGCAAGTGGAAGAATTTTAAATGAAATGAGGACTAAACTTTTTCCAAAAATGATTGAAGTCCTCACATGTCTTCGAGATTGGGAACGATAGCGCCATCAAGATCAATACGAGATTGTCAATGATACTTTAATAGAATCATTTCAATTTTGTAATGTAGATGATACGGATGAGGGAGGTTCTAGTCAACCACCCCAAAATTAGTTGTTTTGTAAATTGTAACTTGTAAATTAATTGTCAATTATTGCACTCTTTTTTCTTTACCAAGTTTTTGTCCCATTGGGTTTTTCTTGGTGAGGTTTTTAACGAGGCAATAATTGTTGTAATTTCTTATTTTATTTTTTGATAAATGAATAAGTCTAATTTTTCTTATATTACAATTTTATTGTATTAAAATTGAATTAACATTTGAAATGTTAACAACAAAAAAAATTTAATTAAATTAAATTATTGATATGTGAAAAGTTAACTAAAAAGAATTACATTTATTTATTTATAAATTATTAATTATTCATT